AATTATTATTTTTATAAAAAAATTATATTATTAAACCAGATATAAATTATTTCGTTATTGTACATAAATTAAATTATAAAAAAATTGAATTAAAAATTTACACAAAAAAATGAGGAATTTCAAATAGTTAATTTGATAGTAATATCGATATATTTTTGTCAAATTTTTATGATATCTTCAAACATATATTTTATTCAAAAATAAAAATATTATCACTTTCTCAAAATCACATAAAGTCATATTATAATATCGACTGAGATAAAGAAGAAAATGAAATATTAAAATCATGATGCATCTCGCTGCATTGCGCGAGTACGCTTCTAGTATTATAAAATATTTAACAAAAACTCTTAAAAACCATTTTTATGCTTAAAGTTTGTATATTGATGCATATTACTTAAAATTCAAGATTACAAATAAATTATGCATTAAGTACAATTTATTAAAGCTCAATGTTTGAATTTGTGTAAATAACTACAGATAAACATAATCAAATAAAAAATAAATATCTCATTAAAAAAATCTAAAATATAATTACGATAATTATCGAATTTCTAACCGAATGTTTAATTATTATTTTTAATAAAAATTATAATATCAAACTAAAAATAAATTACTTAGTTATTATACATAAATTAAATTATAATAAAAAAATTGAATTAAAGAAGTTATACCAAAAAAACGAAAACTATTAAATAGTTAATTTAATACCAATATCGATTTTTTTTTATTTTTTATGTTATTTTCAAATTTATATTTCATTCAAAAATAAAAACATTATCGTTTTTTTAAAACCACATAAAATTATATTACATTGATAGAGACAAATAATAAAAATTAAACATTAAAATGAAAATTTATCTTGCTGCATTGTACGAATACCCTTCTAGTTCTAATAAATTTGTAAGTTAATATTTTCTTAAAAATTCTTGTAATTGACCGATGTTTGTTTGCCAGTTAATTATAATTAAAACCTCCTTGGTAAACTAAATAGCATCCATGCAAATGACCGGTTTGGCCGTGTACGTGGTGGAGAACCAAAGCTGTTTGCGACGTGTGACCCCCTAACCCTTGAACATACCAACGGCTATGACAGAAGAATATACATACATACATATATAAACAATATCTATGACAGGACAGAAGAATATACATAGTGCATATATATACATACATATATAACATATATCTATGACACGAGAATACTTTATTCTTATTTTGTCTATTAATTTTTTCAAAATTACAAACTATAGATAAATTAGGGGAGTGCTAATGGCACCCTCTTTGATGTCAGAATCAGGTCATTCAAGCATTGAAAATGTAAAAAACATGTATTGATGTTGATGTGTGTGAGGAAGAAATTCATGGATAAGAATGCATTAAACAATGCATAGGGGTGCATTTAGCCCACCCCATAAATTAATAACGATAAGAATTGAAATTTGAAGGAGTATTTTAAAACCTATATCTATATTCTATACTAGTCTTCTCAAATAATCAGATCAACTTTTAAAAATCCACCTAAAAACAAAAATATTCTTTTTCTTAAATTAAAAGTGAATAACCTTTTTTTTTAATTTAAATTATTTTAAATATAATTAATATTTTAGTTACATATATATATATATCTATATCTATATCTATATCTATATCTATATAGGGGTGAGTTCAAATAAAAACCACTCAATTTGTAAAAACTGTGAAAACCTCATTCAACCAATCATAATTTTTCATTTTGTTCATTTTTTT